AACACATTATCCTGGCAGGAGATTTCAACTCTTACTCTCTCAACTCCCTCTTTATCAATGCTCCTACCACATTACACAAACAAGCTATCTATAGATATTCAAACATATTTATAGATGTAGCAAAGACCACTGATAAAGAAAACATATTCATCTATACCACCAACACAAGCACTTCTAGAATTGATCAAATTTGGATTACACATGATCTAGTCAGCAAGATCACAAGCTATAAAGTTGCTGAGCAGGAAGCCAGCTCCACTGATCACATATAAGTAACTATTATTCTTGACTGGTTTGAATATAGACCCAACAGAATTTTATTCTTCACAAACATGTATCACTTTAAAAAGTTTCTAAGGAACAAATATAAGCAATACAGGAGGACATTAAGGTTACCTGCCTTACCAACCAAAATTACTCTTGGAAAAGTCTCAATAACATTATCAAAAAAGCTTTAAACAACAACATCCCTCAAAAAAAACAATTAAACCCCAAGCAAAACAAGGATCCACTAATTTATTACAACATGACTATCAAATCAGCAAAAAAAATATTAAAAGTTTTAAGAAAACAAAAGTCTTCAATACCAAAACTTCTCCACACAGCATTAGTGATACATAAAAAAATCTCTAACACAGCTCCCTCTTCAAAATTACTCAAAAAAGTAATAAAACTCTTAATTAATAAAAAGATTACCAAATCAAATGAAACTATTATATTTGAACTTCAAAAGTGTGTCAAAAAGATCTATACCAGATTCTGGCAGAAGCCCAAATATGCTCTCAAAAAAGCTCTTGGTGACTTAAAACTATCGGTGAATCTCTCAATCCTCTCTGAAGAAGATGAACTGCATAATAACCTTGACAAACTAATTGAAATCATTATAAACCACTTCAAAAAAATTCTTGAACCAAAACCCTTTAATATTGACCAAACTTGGCAAAATCAATATGCTCTCATGAGCTCAATTCCTAACAATATATTTAATGTAATATGTGATGAAATCTCACTTCTAGAGATTGACAAAGTTCTTATCAGTTTATCAAAGCAAAAGACATCAGGATTTATCTGTATTCCATATAAAGCTTGGATCAATATTGACACAGCAGCAAGACAGCAAATCAAAAAATTATTCAACAAGATACTTTCCACATCTCTTCTACCAAAGTACTGGAAACAGTCAATTATTATACTATTGCCAAAAAAAATAATCTGGTCACATGACCTAGCAAACACTTGTCTTATCTCACTAATCAAAACCAGCCAGAAAATTTTCACCAAAATCATTAACAAATGAGTCTCCAACATAATTGACAAGGAAAAAATCCTCTCAGGTTTCAACTTTGTTGGCCTCAAAAACCAAAATACTATGGAACCAATCTTGATTATCACTTCTGAATTAGAAATTGCCAACAACTTGAGAAAAAAACTATGGATATCCTCCTTTGACATATCCAAAGCATTCAACTCAGTTAACCTCAACAGCTTGAATGCAGCCATAAAAAGAATAAAGCTGCCTCTCCAAATCATCTCACTTGTTCTAAACCTGCTTAACAACAGAGAACTTCAAATCATCTTATATTACAAACTGACCAACACCCTCTATACTAACAATGGCATCAACCAAGGTGAAACATTAGCCTCTCTTCTTTGGACTATTTTCTATAATCCAATGGTCACTTAAGTTACCAATATTATATTATCAAAATTAAAAATACTTGCCTATATGGATGATATCGCCATTCTTAGCAGTTCTCTTAGCTCTCTTCAAAATGTCACAAACATTTTCTCTTTTTTCCTAAAAATCAATTCCATAAAATATAACAAGAAAAAAACTGAATTAATTAACAATCTTAGTACAAAAAACAGATGTCAAAACCAAGTATTATATAAAGAAGATAAACCCATCCAAGCCAAGCCCATCATGAAGCAATCCAATATCTGGGAATATATATCTCTGACAAATCATCTTCCACTCCCACTAGAACAAAACTTATAGAAAAAATCTGTAATTTCATCAAGGCAATCTCAAATCAAAAAGGCTGGAATGGATCAATTACAAGGCAAGCTTCCTATTGAATAATCCCAGTACAACTAGACTACACCGTACAAGCCACTACCTTAATTGACACAGACCTTAATAACTTGCAGTCAAAAATGAACAAAGTAATCAAAAACAAAATGAAAGTAAAATGAACAATCTTGAACAAAATTCTTTTTTCACACATAGACCTCAATATTATCAAACTTGAAAATAGAAGAGATCTTTCAACTGTTAAACTGTTAATAATCAAGCTCATTAATCCCAAGACTGTTCTTTACACTAGGGAAGAAATAAAGTCCATACAAGCAACAAGCGCAATCTGATTATGTTCCTTATGCGACCTATTCCATTTTAAAACAACTTGGATAACAAAAACAGCACAGCTAGCAAAAAAATATAGCATTAATGTCTGCCCTTCCCATGTCCATTTGAAATTGCAAATCATCAGTAGTCAATTGGCTTCTTTACCAAAATTAACAAAAAAGTAGTCCTTACACTTTACTACCTAAATCTCAACACTCTTCCTCTTTTTTGGATAATTCTTACTTCACTCTGCTTAGAAGTTCCTTAACTATTTACAATTACCTATTTCTCTGCACACAAATTAAATATCAACTTACCTGAATAAATCAATCACCAAGTAAAATATCTGTATAGCAGTCTCGAAACATTAATATTCAACTCAAAGTAAAACAAATTACCTTAATCTGGATTTTTGACAAAAAACAATTTCCTTTAACTGTTCCTCAAGACATTCTGACACCTATTTCTACCTTTCACCCAATCAGTTACAATACATCTCCATTAATCAATTTCAATCTTACAATTAGCATTACACAATGGATTAAATTCATAAACTACTACAATAACCTTTTTAATATTTTTCTAAGCGAAACTGCCACAAACAAATCCAAAAACCTCTCTGAACTAGACACTATTATTAAGTCTAACAAAAGATTGAAAGATATTGACAAAATTAATTTTCACCCACTTTCTACCTTCAGAACTAAAATCCTAACAAATCAGCTTCCTACTTGAGCCAAACTATACATGTTGCTGAAATTTGTAGATTCTTGATGCAATTAATTGAGTTACTATTAAAACATATAAATAATTGAGTTATGACACAATTATTTTGGGAATTAAGTCAACAGCAAAATAATTTACGCCACATGTATAAGTCAAACCTCACAAAAGATATCCTCTATTCTACGAAGATGACCTGTGCCCTTGCTATGAAGCCTACCTAAAAACCTTAACCATGTTTTTTCCTATCACCATTGCCTCCCTATTTTGAGGAAAAAAACAAACAAACTTGAAACCCTTATCATTCTAAACATTCCTAAAAAGAAATTAAACTCAAATGAGACTTACCTTTTTTAAACAATCAACTTAACAGGCAAAACAATACTCAACATAACTATTGAAAAGTTCAATACTTCCTTCAATATTATCCAGAAAAGTGAAGAAATCTCAAACTATTCTTTCAAAATCTTGTATAAAATTTGGAAACAGCACTCAGCAACTGTCACCACTTTGATAACCTCAGGAATCAAATAGAAAAAAACTGCCTCTGTAACAAGCATTAACATTAATCACTTAAATACAAGCACCTTTCAGAAAGTTTTTAATATATTAAAAAATTCAAATAATCTTATTGACAAAAAAATTTTTATACCAGCCATAATATTATTATTTTGAATAAGCATTAACTATTCAACACCTTTAGTATATAAATATCTACTTGATGCCAATGCGTACTAATTGTAAAGTTGTAATAGGCTACAATTAATTTAACTTCTATATATTTTAAAGATTGTTAATATAATGATGATAAACTAATGTTTAATAAATATCTCACATTTAATGCCTGTTTGTGATTTAAAAAAAAAAGATTATATAAGTCAAATATTAAAAATGGTATAATTATGAATTTATTTTTTTTAATTTTTATTATTTATTATTAAAATTTAATAATTAATTGTTTTATATTAAACAAAAGAAAAAAAACTCTTTCTTGATCGCGTCTGTTTTATTAAAAATTTTTCTTTTATAATAATTTTAAGCAAGAAAAAATGTTTTACTTTCTTTATTGCAAGTAAGCCCCAGCTTAGAAACTCAAGAACCTTCAAGACAACTGGTGCAGTGGGATAAGACCTTTGGTCAAAGTCTATTCAAGTTTGGGAGTCTTGCTTATCTTTCGGTTGCATGAGGAAAGGCCTGTGGCAATTCTCTTTTCTTCAGTTCTCTTGCATTCCCCTTACCCCTATTATATCATAAAAACTATATGCATTATTACCATTATACTCACTAAGTCAAATACTTTCCAAAACACATTTACAAACAGAGTTAGTGAGTCTACTGTTTGTTTTAAGTCAACCCACATACACAATATTTTCATAACAATATTTGCTGTGCCATTTTCAATTTCTAAAAAATTTTCATCCAAAAAACTGAAATCAGTTTACCCCTCTCAAGATGATCAGTGCTCATCAATTATCCAATTAGATTTTGCTTAAAGATCAAAACAAAACTCAAACAAGCTCAAACCAGTTTTGTACCATAACAATAATTATAACAACAACAACAACTAATACACTATCAACAACTATAATAACAAACAATATCATATATACTTTATTATCTATAGTAACTGAAAAGCCAGAGAGATGGGACAACAAGCCTGTCCGGAGGTTTCTGAAGAGAAATAATAGTTTTCTACCTATAGATTATAGTTTACTTGATATAGTTTTAGCTATAGTTACTTTTATTTTTCTTTTCAATTTTTTATATTTAAAAAATCAAAAGAATTTGCAAAATTTCCTGAGATAATAGGCATAGCCACTACTTAGCTTTATCTAGCATACCGTATAATCTGAATAATAGGTACCCCCGTTAAAGTTAATATCCCTAGTAAAAAATATCTTTTTTGTACACAATTTTTTATATGGAAAAAATGTACCCCTTAAAAATAAGTACGGGTATGTGTAACATTAAATTTAGATGGGTTAATCACATGAAAAATTTTTCACGTCTCATGTTTTCTTCTAGTGAGACCACGCGACAAAATGAATAATGATATAGATTTTAATATAGACGACAGACTTTAGCATAGACGACAGTACAGATTTCAATAACGACACAGATCTCGACATAAATGACGACATAGATTTTGGTAAAGAGGATAATAACAACAGCAATATTTTCAGTAATGACGAGCTTGACGGCAATATTACTGATAAAAATGATAGTGAGAGCAAAAAAAAATGACAGTCATATACTCGCGAATTCAAAATTTGTGTTCTTAATTGACATAAAAAAAATGGCTCCATTAAAAACAAGATGGCAAGGCATTTCGATCTCACCCATCAGAATGTACTACGGTGGGTCCGCTCAGAAGTACAAATTCGTAGTAGTAAAAAAGGTTCAAAAAGTCAGGGAAGTGGTCGATCTGTGATGTATCCACTTTTAGAACATAAGCTTTATAAGGAATTTCTTGAGTTAAGAGAAAAAGGAATTAAGATCCGTAGTATGTGGTTTATGACACGGTAAGTGTATATTTGATAAGAAGAACAAAGATTGGAAACTTTCTAATTTCTTTATATAGTGCAAAACAGTTGTTTTCTGATCTTTATCCCAGGAAGTTTGATGATGAAGGCAAACTGTTATTCAAGTTTTCAGAGGCTTGGTTTGATGCTTTCAAGTTACGATATAATATTTCTCTTCGGTGAATCACAAACAAGACGCAAGAGATACCAAGTACAAAGATTGATAGTATTAGATTATTTCATTATTTTATTCATGAGCAAGCTGTAAAAGGCAATAGCATCAGGCTATTGGGCAAATGGAAGCTTAGTGGTATTGCAAATATGGATCAGACACTGATAGAATTTGACATGTGTGCAAAAGATGCAACTTATGAAACCCGAGGAGCGAAAACTGTTTGGGTCAAATCTAGTGGATCAGGTCTTGATAAGCGTCAAGCTACTGTACAACTCACAATTTTTGTTGATGGACTCAAACGTGTTCAACCACTAATTGTATTTTGTGGAAAAGACTTACATATCTCTCAGAAGAAAAAAAGTTCTTGGGATCATCGAGTTACAGTTCAATTTCAGGACAATGCTTGAGTGGACGAAAACATAATGAAGTACTGGATAAATCATATGTGGAAACCCTGGGTTTCTTTGGACAACACTTCTAACCTGTTAGTTGCTGATGTGCATCGTGCACAAAAGACCAATAAAGTCCTTGACATGTTAAAAGAATGTAATACTATAATAGCACTAGTTCCACCAGGATGTACATCACTTATTCAACCATTAGATGTTGCATTGAATATGCAATTTAAGCAGGTATTATTGTGTTTTATACTTTTGTTTTGTTTATATACTTATATATATTATTGTTTTTTAGCATATCCAAAATCTTTGTTCTGATCATTTTGCCCAAAACGTTAACAAGTATATGGAAGACAAGCTTTCCGCAAGCGATCGGCG